CGTCGTCTAGCCTCTACAGCCTGCGTCCTCTAGCCTCTACAGCCTGCGTCGTCTAGCCTCTACAGCCTGTGTCCTCTAGTCTCTACAGCCTGCGTCCTCTAGCCTCTACAGCCTGCGTCCTCTAGCCTCTACAGCCTGCGTCGTCTAGCCTCTACAGCCTGCGTCCTCTAGTCTCTACAGCCTGCGTCCTCTAGTCTCTACAGCCTGCGTCCTCTAGTCTCTACAGCCTGTGTCCTCTAGTCTCTACAGCCTGCGTCCTCTAGTCTCTACAGCCTGTGTCCTCTAGCCTCTACAGCCTGCGTCCTCTAGTCTCTACAGCCTGTGTCCTCTAGTCTCTACAGCCTGCGTCCTCTAGTCTCTACAGCCTGTGTCCTCTAGTCTCTACAGCCTGCGTCCTCTAGTCTCTACAGCCTGTGTCCTCTAGTCTCTACAGCCTGCGTCCTCTAGCCTCTACAGCCTGTGTCCTGTAGCCTCTACAGCGCTGCTTAATACCAGGGCTTTGACTTCAATATTTGAATATAATTCTAAAATAAAAAATATATACATATTTGAACAAATATTAGACAACCCTTATAATTCGAAATGTATTTAATGACTGCAAAAAAATAGTTAGCTCCCAAAGGTTTCACTGGGACGTGCTAGGCAGGTAACAGCTAAGCTAGCTAGTTGTTTCATGGTAACTTCCGGGTTTTTCGCAATCGCTTTTGGTCAAATTAAAACAGTATTTTTGTCATGAAAACGTTAACAGCAAATTCTGAAATTGTCCGTGCATGTGTGTTAAGGATGTATATGTATACTGTATTGTCCGATTGACGTTTAACGGTGTTGATTGATTGATATGTAGTTGTTTATTGAGCGTGGCTAGCTCCGCTAGCTTCTACCGGCGCTGATAGCTTGTTGTACTTGCGGAGTAATGGCAGTATTTTACACACCTGAATTACAAACAGAGATTGCATTGGGGCTTCGGTCATTATTGGTTTGAGAGTTCTGTTATCAAGAAAAAATTATAGGAAGAATTGCATTCAAGTCAATGGAGTGCTGCTGCTGTGAGGAGCTCTATAACAAATTATAATTAAATATTAGAATATAATGTAATGTTTTAAACTAATACATTCGGATGCGAAACTAGCAGTATTCTTTTACTTATATATTGTGTTAGCAGTGTGTTGCTTTAGTGCCATTTCATCAGTGATTGTTGTACAGCTTACAAGAAGTTGCGCTAATGCTAATGTTAGCATACGTATCACAAATAAAACTAGATGCCTCCGTGGAATGAGAGCGTAGGGGAAATGAGAAGCCATTGAGCAAGTTGGGGGGCGGTGCTAAACATTGAAACATTGCAGAAACGGGTATAGCGCCTTTAAACATGATCACTTTTTATGTTTGCTGTTTTGCTTTGTGATTGTTAGTCTTGTCTTTTTGCTCCATGTGTCTGTTTATATTATAGGGACTATGTTAAAACAAACAAATATTTAAGTCCATAAGTCTAGCGTTTTCAATCAAGTCTTCCAAATAAAACTTAATTTTTTAACTGGCAACTTGTGAGGCTGCGTTGGAAAGAACTTAAGGTTAATCAAGCTAGCGTTCTCACGTGCGCAACAGCACCCATGGTTTGCGTTATCCGAAATAAAGAGAGATTTTTTCTGCATGTCAAACGCCCCTGTGCCCCGGATTGCGTTTTGAGGCGCATTTTTTTTCAAATACCCAGATTTGTGTAAACAGGAACTCAAATTATCATCAGAGATTATTTACAAAGAGAACAAGTGATAAATACAATTCGTTGTTATATCAATCAATATTTATTTGTAGAGCGCCTTTCCTACACAGGGCAACACAAAGCTCTTCACAGATCACACAGGGCACGACACATAAAACAAACACAAAAGCCACCATTAAAATCAAACAGGTTATTAGAAAAATAAAAACATTCAATATGTCAACTTTATTTAATATGTATAAACCTAATTAAAACCCTGCTGATGCTAGGGGCTCTGAGGACCATGACAATCCAGAACATGTATGGATAATATTGAACAGACATCCTTTGTGTGTCTTAATATTGCATTTGATTCTGATCTGCCGGGAAACGTTTGTCTGGTGTGAATTGATTTGCGAAAAAGATAAAAAGAACAAGACAGTGCTGCTGCAGACCTGTTTGCCATCTCAGCCTCACATGTGACCGTAGCTCTCTGTGTTCAATCATCTAATGTCCTCTTATACTTTAACAACTGCCCCATTGCACTGAGCAAAGGCTGCACGCTCGGGAATCTCTGGGTGCTATTTTTCATCTCCTCCAAGACAAAATATTTAATTCCCAGGTAAATGAGATCATCAAGTAGGTTATCCGGGGAGAAGAAGGGCGCATTAATGTGTGAGTGAACCTGAAGTGAGGACAAGAACAAAGTGAGGAACGGACAATCCACGTTCACCATAAACTTTTGCATTGGGGCAATTTAAAGCCTCACTTTACAAACAAAATTAAAAATGTAAAAAAATTGATCTACCTTGCTTCTCACGGTGAAAAATATCCTTTTCTTTTTATTTTTTGGCCTCTGTCAGGTCATTTAGATCAGCTTTTCCATACAGAAACGTGGGAAAGAAAAAAAAACAACCTCAATCCAATCAACTCCCACCCAAAGTACTTACAAGTATGCAAAAAATAACATGATTCTGATTGTGTCTGGTTAGTTTACAGCATTTTACAAAACTATTGTAGTTCATATAAACAAGATGTTTTCTTTACAGTATGAAAAAAAAGTCAGGTAACCAAGCTTCAATAGCCCTCATCTGAATTAAAGAAATAGTTTGGAAATTAGCATATGCAGTAATCTCTCTATAACACAAAAGACAGTACATCTGGTCAGTCCAATGCAACTGTTTTTATTTTATTTATTGCATAGAAAGAGTTATAGAGCTGTAGAAGATATAAGCTCACACTATGTCATGTCTTGCCCTCTTCTGTATTTTATTTGGCAGGCACAGGAAAATAGTTTCCTCATCCATTCGGTGGATCACTTTTTGAGTCTCTATATCTACTTGAAGCTTGGAACTGAAATCTACCTCATTGGGGCATCTCTATCACTTGGTCATGGGCAATTTTACCATCAAGCTTCATCTCAACCATTTGGTAGTGCTCTTACGTCAAACAAATTACGTTGGTTTCTTCCCGGGGTAAACATTAAAGGGTTAACTTGTCCTTGTTTCAAGTTTCACCTGTCTTTGATCAGTGCCTCATCCTTGATGTGCTGCATGTGTGACTTCTTGTCTTCAGTGTGTATAGTTTGTATGCTCCCTGCCCCATGCACCAGATTGCATTATTCCCTGTTAATGCGTCAACTTTATTGGTTCCCAGACCACTAAACTGTCTTAATACTAAACAGAGAAGTCAGCAGATTTGATCATTTTTTGTTTTTTTGATGTATACATATATCAAAAAAATATAAAATAAATTCCATTGATTTGAATGGGAGCCAACAGAAAGACTGCTCTGGGAGTTCCAGTAGTTTCAGACTTCTTGGAACCCCTCGTGTTAAACTGCTTTTGTTCAACTCTTTGTTCAGTGCAATTAAAAAAGAGCCAAAATCAATCCAGCGTTTGACAGTTTGAAATAAGTGGAATGGATCAGATCTCAAATTCAATCCACGTCAAATATTTCACAGGCCGTTGTTGGACTGGGAAAAAACCTTATACAATTGGACACAACTACACTTCAGTTAAAAAAATAAGCCATGAACCATATCTGAAAGAATTGTAAGTAACATGCCTCAGCGATTGTGTAAGGCTTTTTGAGACAGTGAGATGGGATGGCTTGAGAAAGGTGTCGGGAGCGATGTGTGATAAAAGTGTGCTGGCAAGAAAAACAGGAGACAAAGAACTGCAGCCGGAGCTTGAGGAAGTGGAATTTACAATGTTGAGGTTGTTTAATGTTTTAACGTATCTGTGTGGTTTTATGTCTGAGTGAGTTTTAGTTTGCGGAAGTGTACGCTGTAAATGTCAGTGGGTCATAATTCCAAGATCAGCCTTAAAATCTTGATTTCAAGCAAGATATTAATTAGTACAGAACATGCATCTGAAAATTGAGAGCAACTTTGGCAGCGCCTTTGAGAGCTGATTCAGTTTTTTGTATAGGCCTAGATCACAACAGCAGAGGTTTTTGAGGATGTTACAAAGTTGTCGATTCATCAAAAACAAATCGGAGCATCAAACACAGAACATTCAATGATAATAAACCTATATGAGCCACTGGTCCATGGGGAGTGGGATAACCAATGTCCATAAATGTTAATAAATGTCCTTTATCATCAGCGTCCAGGGGGGGTGTGAGATTTTCTCCCACGGACGGACAGGCTATAAATGCATAGCCTGACTCTCGCCAGACCCTTGTAGATCGCAGAGCTTCTCACATGGGTCTGGGACTCCTTCATAGCGGTTGGATATCAGAAGGCGGGGCCTTGTAAAAAAAATCCTTGAATGTGATTGGATAAACCACTTGTTTGTTATCTTGAATGACGTCTTCCTTTAACACTAGGAGCGCCGCTAGCGGTCAACTGACCGTCAGTCACTTTAATATGCTAATTAGTGTATTCAAAACAAAACGCCAGAAGTTGAAATTTTATGACTTTTATTAGGTACTTGTTGTTTATGTTTTGATGTGTTTTGGTTTTGGAAAAAATAAAGAAAACAAGATTTACACGCATTTTAACATTTGTAAACCACAGCCCTTTCTGCTGCCCCATAGGGATACATGGCGCAGGGGCGACTATTGTCATAGTAACCATTTCCCGGGGGTTTTTCGCACCTTATAAAAATGTATCAAAATATGTTGTCATTAGACTATAAAGGGGATTGAGTTTGGGAGAGAGAAAGAGAGGAAGAAGAAGCCATTTTATCAATACTTTTGAATTGAGAGGATCAAAAATGAAAAGAGCTGCCAAGTACACGGTAGATGAAGCCCTAGCATGCTTCAAGACATTGATGAAGAACTGTCTGACGGAGGTGAGATGTCTGATTTTGAAGTGGAGAGTGACAGCGGTGAGAACACCGACTCAGAGCCCGACACAGCGCTCCCTCCTCCCGCAAAGAGAAGGTTGACGCCTCCTTCAGGCACCGCCTTGACGGCAGGTAAATATACATTATTTGTTCTATTCTCCAATTTAGACCAATTTTTAGGACATTTGCCAAATATTTGTGTGTTTGATTGGCTAAGGAATAACCAAGAAATGTCCTTGCTGTTGTTTTCCAAATTAGCATGCTAGCAGCGCGGCTTGAATAGAATATATCCTAAAGAATAGATTAGTAGGCATATACCCGCTGATTCAATGTATTGTAGCCTATATTTTGTGTAATATATATATATATATATATATATATATATATATTATATATATACACGGGACTGCACCGTGGCTGAAGCGCGTCGCTCACCTCTCCATCCCTGAGCTCAAAGCTTTCATCGCGCTTTTATATGTTAGGGGAAGGTTCAACAAGAACGTCGCTTTTGGTCAGGTGATTGGGGGCTTATTTTGTGCAAACATTATTGTATAATGAAAAAGGCAAGATAGTCTTTTACCATTTTTTATTGTACATAATATATCCTGCATTTAACATGTTTGCACAATCTGAGTGTTTATCCATGCCAAATGTGACATGTTAATTTCTCCTTGTGAGATAAATACAGACTATCTTATCTTACAGGACGCGCTGCAGCAGCAAGAGGTGAGCACAGACGGGCAGCGGATACGGCTGGTAGGCACATGCAAATAGACAAGATTTACCCAATAATTTTCACATGGCAGGCCTGTAAATGTGTTTATTTTTTCTTCCAGTGCGCAGACAGGACGTTGGGGACCAAGTCTGGATAGGAGCACCTGCTCCAGAATCAGGTATAGGCCTGTAGCCTAATACGCAGCGCATAAGGCAAGCTGCAATCAATGCCATTGCATTTGTCAGAACTGTTTGTCCTAATTTTAATATTTGGTCCAATGCCGCATAGGTCCTGAAGAGATGGGGAAAGACGGGAGCGTGTGGCTGTCTGTGCCACTAGGCACAGGGCGCGGAAGAAGGCCATCTCAAAATATTTTGAGGGAAATTGCAGGCCCTACTGCATTTGCAAGGCATGGGATCCACGACCTGGAGAGTGCTTTCCTGTGCTTGATGGATCCCCTGCTCCTCCAGCACATACGGGACTGCACCGTGGCTGAAGCGCGTCGCTCTGGGATACAGTGGGACCTCTCCATCCCTGAGCTCAAAGCTTTCATCGCGCTTTTATACGTCAGGGGAAGCTTCAATAAAAATCTGGAGATGGAGAGCTTGTGGTCAGATGAGTGGGGGCTTCCATTTTTCAGAAGCACAATGCCTCGCAGGAGATATAGACAGATAATGCGTTTCCTTCGCTTTGACCGCAGAGAGGAGAGGCAGGCCCGACTCGCAAGTGATAAGTTTGCCCTCATAACGGACGTGTGGAGGGATTTCGTCACCAACTCTATCCGGTGCTACAGGCCAGGAGAAAATGTTACGGTGGATGAGCAGCTATACCCAACAAAAGCACGCTGCCGTTTCACTCAGTATATGGCCAATAAACCCGATAAATTCGGCATAAAATTTTGGATGGCGGCAGACGTTGATTCCAAATATTTTCTCAATGGGATCCCTTATCTTGGGAAAGATGCAGCGCGGCCTGCTGGGCAGCGCTTGGGGGAGAGAGTAGTGCTCAACCTCATGGAGCCATTCATGGACAAAGGCAGGAATGTCACCACTGACAATTTCTTCACCTCGTTATCCCTAGCCAAATGCCTGCTGGCGAGAAACACCAGCCTCGTCGGGACCATGAATGCTGCGCGCAGAGAACTCCCACCTTCAGCGAAACAGCGCGCAGAGCTCCACAGCACCAAGGTGCTGAAGCATGAGCGTGCCACTCTCACTCTGTACCAGGCAAAGAGGAAGAAAGAGTGTCTCCATCCTGAGTACTCTCCACCAGACGGTCCTTACAGGCACAGAGGGGAAGAGGAAGCCTGAGACCATCACCTTTTATAATACCACAAAGGTAATTCTGCTTTTTAGCATGCACTGCATGCAGCCTCCCATCACGTTGTGTTCTTGTCACAGGTTGGTGTAGACTCGCTGGACCAGATGGCTCGCCTCTATTCAACAAAAGGTGCGACAAGGAGGTGGCCCGTGGCAGTTTTCTGCAACATCCTGGATTTGGCTGCAATAAACGCATGGGTCCTATACAGGCAGTGTACAGGGGCAAACATTGCGAGGCGCGCCTTCATCCTCGAGCTGGCCAAAGAGCTGCGCAGGGAGCACATGCTAGCAAAAGCCGCCCCCCCTGCAACAGTGCAGAGACCGCTTCTCCCGCTTCCCTATGTTCCCCACCCACAGGTGCCAGAGAGGAGACGGCAGTGCCAGATCAATGCCCACTGCAAGCAGAATAAAACCACCGTGGTCTGCAGTGGGTGCAAGCGGCCTGTATGTGGCAAATGTGTGGTCCAATTAGAACCTCGTTGCCTGAAGTGTGTGTAGACTTTGTATATAATGTAAATAGCCTCTATGTTTTATCAATATTAATGTTCTATTTTGTATGTTTTGTTTTCAATCAGTTCTGCGCCGTTATAACCACTTTTGGTTGCGCACATTTTCTGTAATTTGTTTTATAATCAGTTCGAGCATGTTTGCATTTACATTCTTATATTTATACATAGATGAAGGCAATAAAGCAGAATACAATATCGCAATAAAATAGAACAATTAGATGAACTATCAAGGCAGAGTGCAGATAGAGCGCTGTGAGGCCTCTCGTCACCCGCGGACACCTGCAGGAGGAGAGGGACTGTGGCAGAAGCGGCCCTGATCATATCAATAAGGATCTCATTCTTATTTCATTCAGATAACACTGTGTGTTATTCTGCACAGCGTGAACTTCAAGGCATTGATTATAATTTTGTTCTGATCATAAAGAGCACTGCTCGTCTCAAATAAATCTATTTGTCTTTCTAACGTGTCCCGTGTAAAATTGAAGATTGTACATTGACGATGGTAGCCAAGCTGATGATCTTGTGTCAATACGAATACTGTTATTATTATCTAGATAATATTTCCCACGGTGATTTCGTCTGGAAAGAGAAAACAGTCTGGAGATGACGTAAGAAGTAGACGCATATAGCAGCGCGAAGACGTTATGGTCCCGTGCTTTTCTAAACTATCATTTATATTGTTTGAATTGACATATTGTTACTGAGTCAAATTTAACATATAGTGACCAACCTTTTAGGTGTTTGCAAAGTTACAAAATAAATCTACCCTGAAAAGTCATCGTAATTTTGATGGATCAGTACACGCACAATGTGTCGTCTTAGCCTTTTATTTCGGCTAGAATTACAATTACTTAGCATATTTAGACAAATAATTTACACAGTTTCATTATGATCACGATTTCCTTGCAACAACAAGTTCTGGTTTAGTGAACAATCAATTTGGCAAAAGGCTGTATCAGCGCAAAATACATAGCGGTCAACTGACCGCAGGGGGCGGTACAAGGTATGTTTAGAGCACGGCGGTGCTAGTGTTAACCACTCAAATAGTAGCACACGATTCCCATGGGTTGCCAAATGCCGGCAAGATTTTCCAACCCAAAACTCGCGAGAATGCCCCAAAAAATTCCACCCAGAATTATTTATTGGCTAAAAACGTAATGTAATCAACATGATTCTGTTTATTGTCTTTCTGTCCGTTTATTACCTACAAGTCTCTTGGAAAAAAGTATGCGAGAAACCACCCAACCTGGCAACCCTGCTGTGTAGTGTTGTAAACAGAAACACTTAAACCAAACTTTACAGGAACATTTGACTCTTAAAACTCACAAATAACAACATGGAACCATCAACATCTCGTCTCATATTGCATTAAAATTGACATCTGTGTCTTAATTTGTTCGTATTTAAACTTTTTTTTTTAATTAACGGACTTTATGTCCGCCATCTTGGATTGCTTTCGCTGCCGCGTGAGACACGCTTGAGAAGGCGAAGGCGGTGCAAACCCGACGTAACACCGGCAATCCTGATTGGTCGATTATTTTCTGATCTGCTGAAGGAGTTTGTTGTGCACTTGATACCAGACCCTTGTGTGTGAAGCGAAACGCCTCTGGTGGAGCATGGTGGAACTACAAGGGTCTGACGAGAGTCAGGCTAATAAATGCAGGTCTTGGGCTGTAAATCATTCAAAAAAAATTTGGAACTATTTACCAATTTGATTCAATATTTAGTATTAAGAAAATGAAATGGAAACTTATTTTTAAGGCCATTGTTAAAGCTGCAGAACATAACTTTCAAACCACAGAACTTTTTTCTATGTAATAAACTCCTTGTAATAAATTATAGAAACATGATGATGTTATGATCTGATTAGTTCAATACATTTTACAAGACACTTTGAGTTGGACTAACTGCATAGGTTATCTATGAAAAAATGTGCAAATCGTCATAATAGACATGACGATGCATGACCACACCAATCAGTTCATCATGGAAGCACGTCTGGTCTCACTGGATCTGAACTGAACCAAACTGACCTGAGCCCGAGTCTGAACACGGCCAGAGGAAAGCACATCTGTCCATCGCTCCTGGCACTCGCCATCAGCGAGGGACAGCATAATGGAATAATTATTATGGAACACCATTTAGTGCCCTGTCTAGACATGTTTGACTCAAACTACTTAGTCTGTCTTTAAAGTGCACATAATCAACCTGAAAACGTCAGAAAGTAATAACGTGGTTTATCCAAATACAGTGAAACAGGCCTGGCTATAGAAATGTTGTTTTTGTCACACCATTTACTTTGTTTTGTTTTTAACAAAGTAAATGTCTCAGTCTTGTTATTTTTCCACAAAAGGACAAAAGATGTGGTGGTGTATCTTCAAAATACATGGTTTATTGTTGGTGCACAGCATAAACGACACCTCAACTGCAGATTCACAGCTTTCACATGGTAATTACCAAGACTAATTTACAATAGCTCCTCTCAGCGTCTGCCACGTTGTTTGCTTGGACCAAGAAATCAAGTGGAAAATAACTTCCTTCTGTTAAATCTGTTGTATTGACCAGCTCAATTTCAACATAAATTCACAAAAAAGTCTCACATATTGTGAAGAAAACCAATCGGAAATTTCAATTGGGCGCAAACCTCTCTAGCGACTGAACCAAACCAGAGAGACACAATGCTTTACATTGCTAGCACCAGACCTCTTGTCAAATACGTAGACCCATTAAGACCCTAAATAATGGCCTAAAAGGGTCTAAATGACACAGGGCTGATCAAGTTAGGAAAAATCATCATTAACAGTATTTGTTTCATCACTGTGGCGGGTCAATTTGACCTGAGGATGGCACACAGGGGTTAACTTACCAATATACTATTTCGGAGATGCAACAAGATGCAACTAGTCCAAACAAGATTGATATAACAGAGGTACACCGTGACCTGAATATTACGTTATGCGTTTGTCCAATTCTTGTGTCCATAAAAGTAACTAGAATATATTTGTGTGGTCGTTTTGATGTAATTGTGTTGTGGATGTCAATTGAGGAAAAAGGAATTCAAACAAAAGAAAAGTGTTCTGTAGAAAACTTTAAACTTCCCTCATTTTGTATTTCTGCTCTGGTCTAACAACATTTTCTAAGTCCTCTATTGGAGCGAATATGCCTTGAGCCCATCCATGAAGTAACCTTACGTCACCGCCTCGCTGCCTCACAGCCCAGCTCTTTTTCATGCTAATAGACTTTGTGCATTCCCAACAAGTCTCTAAGGCCGTGCTTGTTTGGTCTCAATCAGCTTGTACCTCGTGGGGCCCCCGTTTGAAGCAAGCCCCTGAAAAAGCTCATCTAAAGTGACGGAGGCAAACGTACGTTATACATGTGAAAATAATGCATTTAATCATTTTTTGTGGTTTACATGTTTTATTGTTTTAATGGTATCCCAGCTTTAAAGGAACACGGTGTAACTTTGTAGCTCAAATTAAACAATGTATGTGTTTATTTTACTGATAGATAGATACAGTAGATTGATAGATAGATGCATAGACACTTTATTGATCCCCTGAAGGAGAAATGTAGGTGTTCAGTGGCAGCAGAAACACATTCATCCAAAATAACAAAATAAATACATAATTCTAAAAGTAGCGAACAATGGTAATAAAATGCAACATTACTTTAGGTCACAGCACCTGAGATGGAGTCGCCGCTTGTTTCTGACTATTTTCTCTGCTCTGGTCTGGATCAGTGTAAAACCATGAACACTGTACTACAGTAACACTTACAGATAATAAATGATACAGACGCAAGAATAATGACACTTGTAAAACACAAACTTTATCAGAGATATTTAGGACTTGCTGCCGTTTCCAGCGCAGTCAAAAGTACAAACACATACACAGAATATTTCTCCTTATAATGAGTGGACTTGCATCTCCAATACAGAGCTTAAATTGTTATTGAGGTTATGATATGACTTTCCCAAGTCTGCCTTTCCATGTCCCAGCACAACAGTCTGTCTTTTAGAGGTGTGCTCCTAAAAGCTGGGGTCATTCTGCTTAGGCACAACAACCTCTGAGTCTACACATTGTCACCCTCTACACAGGGGTTTGGAGCAGTTCCAAAAGCACGGAAGGTGAAACATGGAGGATTCTGGATAAAAGCCAAATTTAGAAAGACAGTCATTAAGCACTTCTCCCTCAGACAGTCTTTTGATGATCAGAGCGCATGGACATAGACTCAGAACTGCGGTTTGATGCACGGAGAAAAGAGAACGACAATTTGTTCCTGTATTCAAATATGCTAGTGATCATTAACCACTCGCTGCTCAGCAAGAAGGTTCTGGGTTCGAATCACGACCCTAACCCTCTCTGAGTTGTGTTTGCATGTTCTCCCCATGTCTGTGGTAGGTTTCCTCCTGTTTCCCCTACCACTAAAACCTACAATAGTTCAGGGGGAATGAATGAGTGTGTGTTTTTGTGTGCGACCGTGGAACAACGGATACAAATGATCCCAAGGCTACAATCCGTAGAGGTGTGCTCATTAACATACACTGTCCCAACCAAATAAACGATAAATAAATAAATCCAGTCCGATATCATGGCTCATATGGTCCATATTTCTCCGGGTCATCAGTCTGGTCCCCCTCCCCACCATTTAGCTGACAGCGGACTCAACCAATAAGCGATGGGCAGAGCTTGGAGCCTCCTCAGTCCTGCACCACACAGCCTCAACCTCGTTCTACAGCCTGAGTCCTGGATTTATAGCCTCTCCGTCCATTGCAGCGAATCCCTCTATCAATGCCTCTCAAGATCTAACTCCTCGAGGTTGACCTTACAGAGAATGCACCTTCAAAAAAACAATGGAAATAACTTCATTCAAATGTTAAAAACAATTAGCAAAACATCACTTCAATACAACATTCACTCCAGCCATTTCTCACACAACCATTTGCAGCCGCTACATATGACCGGACCCACACAAAGATGATGTAATCCG